GTCAGAGAGGGCATTCTATCAGAGAAGGCACTCTGTCAGAGAGGGCAGTCTGTCAGAGAAGGCAATCTGTCAGAGAGGGCAAGGCAGTGATTTGTTCAGTGAACGAACTGCTGATTTGCAAATGTGCACACACAGAGAACTGCCGCTGAGGCAGAATGTTCACGTAGTTCTGTGCGCTGCATCATTCATTCACGTACTGCACAAATAAACTGCATGAACTGAAGTGAATTAATCTTTTGAAATAATCGTTTTAATGAACTGATTCTAGGGATTCAGTAAACTCAAAAGAACTGTCGTCCTCATCACTTCAAAAACTCCTTCATGTTGCTCTGAAAAAATCTCTGTATTTCATTTTAAAAAATGATAAGTTTCCAAGACGATGAAAGAAAACATCCCCACAGCATGAAGTTGCCAACTCCATGCTTGACTGTAGGGATATTGTTTTAGCATAATGAGAGATGATCCGTTTGTCTCAGATATGATGTTGTCTTTGATCTTTGGGTGTCTTTGTCTCTAAACTATGTGGAGAGATACTTGGTCTTCATGTTGTCTCTTGCTTGATGTAAGCCCTTACTACTTATATGTTTGACTACTGTTGATTCTGGAGGCTATGTGTATATAACGATATCGGCTGACACTTAATATTGCTCAGAGGGAATGTTTTCGCACTACTTATGTGGCTTCTGCAGGTAATTGCTGATTCTTCAAAAGAGTAAATACATATGAACACAACTGTAGCGATCAGGGTTGAATTATGGTTATAAATTTAAACTAAACCTGGGGGCACCACCTTCACCAGTTTAAAGGACTATTTGTTTAACTTGGGTTTATTTATGAGTTGAAAGGAAAGGCATATTACCAGCTCTAACAATTGAAACAATTTTTTTTTTAAATAAATCTAAATAATTCTTGTGAAGATTTGTGTTCCCTAGTGTGTCTCCACATTGTGGTCTACCCCAGCTTCTGCCGCTCCCACCTGTTCCTGATTGTCCTTTCCCCAGATGTTTGTCATTGTCTGTTTGTAACAACTGTATATAAGTCTGCGTGTCTCTGTCACTCATTGTCTGGTATGGCTTCCTGTTCCTGTCTTCCCCCGTGTCTCCTCATCCTCTATGTAAGTTTTGTTGCCATGTCAGCTTTTGTTTTCAATTAATAAATAATAGTTTTATTTTACCTTTTCAAGTTTCCCTGTGTCTGCCTGGACTTTGGGTTCTACCACCACCAGCTTCCGACAATCCTAAATTGAACTGATTATGGTTTGAGGTTAAATGTTTATCTTGGACACCATAAGACAACCAAAAGTATGAAAATTTCGGTCCTACTGGGAGGTGAACGTCAGCTTCTATGATCGATACTGGGCAGGTGTATTATGGACAATTTCAAGAGGCTACCTCAGAAGTCGGGATCTCCCAAGACACCTCTGCAGCTGCGTGAAGATACAAGTATCTCTTATCTGCCTTGATTTGGTAGAAAGCTGGATTTTGGTTTTCTGATTTATTTATTTTTTGATGGACTCTTAGAAGGGTGTCAACAACAGCTTCGTTGTTCCTTTCGTTGAAACTGTCTCAAAACTTGAACTCAACTTTACTTAACTTGGACTTTATCTTATTTGGTATTTAAATTAATTTTCTTGTTGGCAACTCTCTTTACTCTGCCTCTGATCTAACAACTTCCTAGTGACAAGGATATTGGTATATTGTTAAAAGACGTTAGAAATGCAGCTGCCAGGGAAAAGACAAACAGGAGACATATGATGCAGTTAGAGGACATGGAGGTTGTTGGAGTGAGGACAGAGGATGCAGAGGACAGAGATGGAAGAGGAGGACTCGCTGTGGCGACCACCAAAGAGGGAAAAACAGAAAGAAGCAGCTTGATGTCTTAAAAGCTGATAATATTGTGTCTGATGGTCTTTCTGTGATATTGTACAGACGCTGGAGTTGTTTGAGCTGACAAAAGAATGCTTTAGGTGGTAAAACAACTGCACAGAGTGTGGTGTTTATTTTACAAGCATCAAAAAATAGTTGTCTGAGAGACATGAAATATGATCCTACACAACACTTACCAGTGTTATCCTTTTAAAATATTTAAGACATGTTTTTTTTTTTCATTTATCTTTATTATTCTGGAGTGTTATGTGGGACTGGTGATGCAGAGGTTAGAGAAGGTTAGCCTGTGATCGGAAGGTTGCTAGTTCGACTCCCGGACCGACATCATCAAGATGTGGGTGGGAAAGGTGACGCACCCACACCTGCCTCCACCCTCATTTGCCCCACTCTGAGCCCTTGAGCAATGCCCTCAACCCTCACTATCTGCTTCCCCAGGCACCCTAGATGGCAGCTCTCTGCTCCACACAGAGGCTGTGGTAGCTCGGTGGTCTGTGGTTGTGTCAGGAAGGGAATAAAAACAATTGCCAAGTCTTCATCTGAGTTAGTTCACTGTGGTGACCCCCTGAGGAAGGGAGCAGCCGAAACAAAAAAATAAAAAACATCTGGAATATTATGTGAGAATTGTTGGTTAATTCTAAATAAAAGTTCAATGTCATTTCTGGTTATAATACAACAAAAATGAAAATAACCACACAAAAAAAATACTGTGCTCTATTTTCTACTTTAAAAATGTTTTTGATGAGCACAGAATTAATCTGTACACAAGTCAAATGATTTTACTCATTGGAAAAATAACTGAGTTCCTGACCAACATTCAGTTTCACAAGAAATACATCAGTTAAGAATAGCAGAACAATAAATAATGTGGCTATGTATACTGTTGTAAATATATGTATACTCTGTTTTTAGACCCTCCCTACATTTCAAAAGCGAGGAGTACAGGTATTCCTGAAGGACAAAAGGGAATCCTGCAGTGTGAAGCCTCTGCTGTCCCAAAAGCAGACTTTGAGTGGTACAAAGAGGACCGCAGGCAAGTTTCTTCTGAGCTCAGTGCAGCTGTAATCTGCAGAAATCATTCATACATTGTATTCTAAATACTAGGAACTTAGTTTTTATACAGTGAATAAAGGGTCATATTGAATTAGTACTGCCTGCCACTAGAGGCAATAATGTTTTTGTTCAAGTGTGAGGGTGTATGTGTGTGTATTTGTTAGTTTGTAGGATTTGCAGAATATTTCATGAACACATAAATGGCTAACAGTTACAAATGTTACACACCTGCTCTTCGTTAAGAAAAAAAAAGTTTAAATTTTAGCCCCACATTTTTTTCATCAGCCAGCAGTCTGCTAATTCTTTTCTGTGTTATCAGTTTTTTTGTACCGAGGTTGAAAGCCAGATGTTACCTTTTAAAACATTCAAAACGTTGGGTTACGTATTGTAACCCCAGATTCTATGAGTGTAAGCGTAGCCCTTTAAAAGCTGTCACAATTGGGTTTACCCACGCGCAGCGCTCCGAACACTGAAAACTTCTAGTCCACGCCCACCTGCTGTGTGGGCCCCACCCAGTCCGTTATAAATTGCATCTGGACCGGAGCTCGACTCCCAAAGGCTTACTCTTTTTCTTCAGCCTTTTGAGAGCCAGTGAGGCCCAGTTTTTAAAGGGCTACGTTTACACTCAGAATCTGGGGTTACAATACATAACCAACGTTCTATTTCATATAAGCTACGCCCTTTAAAAGCTGTCACTATTGGGTTTAAAGGGCGGAGCAGGATATGGTCCATGCCTCACTGGGTCTGTCCTAGAACCATCAATAACACCCTGATATCCACCCAAACCTCTGTCTTTATTCAAGCGTAATTACGCACCATTGATCCATGTACCTGGTGCATACTGGATTACAGGCGTGCAGCCTCTGAGCCTGATCTTAACTGAAGGAATGTTTATTCATATCAGACAATAGAGGAATAAGAAAAGGAAACATTTCCAATGAGGAAGAAGGAATTTTCCTGTTTGAGCGAGTAATCGTAGAAAATACCCACCAATAATGACAGAGCAGGGCTGTGTTGTTTTTATTGTTTGTTTTTATTTATTTATTTATTTTTTTTGTGTGTGATTGTGAAAAATCACTCTGACATAACTCTGAGAACTGAATGAGTCAGCGAAGAGCTGGAGACATCTCGTAAATAAAAACGGATGAAGGGGGTTGTGATGACCATGAAGCCGTAGAACACATGTCCTGCACAGACACCTCTCTGTGCAGAGCTGTGGAGGTAGAAGTCCCTCTGGTGGAATGAGCCCCGAGTCCTTCAGGCTGTTGAAGGCCAGAATAACTATAAGCTTGTGATATAGCTTCACATAACCAATGTGACAGACGCTGGGAAGATAAAGGCTGACCCTGTGATCGTTCTCTGAAATGTACAAACAATTGATCGACTTTACGCATCGCGGCTAAGTGTGTCACATAACACCTGAGTGCGCGTACTGGACAGAGCAGGTGAAAACTGTTCCTCCTTCGTAGTTTTATGGGGAGAGGGACAGAACCCGTCCAGTGTAACGACTCTGGACCTGAATGAATTTGTTATGATTTTGGGTATAAAAGCAGGATTTGGTCAGAGTTCTGCTGAACTCCCGTCTCCTTGAATTCTGAGACAAGAAGGAGTGACGGACAGACCTGACAAGTCGCTCACTCTTTTAGCTGATGTCAGAGCTAATAACAAGGCTGTTTTGAGCGACGGATACTTCAAAAGTATCTGGTCCAGGGGCTCAAACAGAGTTTAATGAGTACACTGAGAACGAAGACTAAATCCCACTGTGGTGCCAGGGCGCATGTCACTGGCCTGAGTTGGTGTGCACCTTTCAGAAAATGTTTTGTTAAAGGATGATTGAAAACTGTTCTATTGTTGAAACCTTCATGAGAGGAGGAGGTTGCTGCAGCATAAGTTTTAATTGTGCTGGAAGCTAAATTTCTGTCTAACAGCAGCTGCAGGTAGGATAAAATGCAGCCCAGAGGACATGAAGTTGGGTCCACCTCCTTTTCTAGGCACCATTGCTGAAAAGCAGCCCATTTAGAAGTGTAAACAGCCATAGTGGGTTTTGCACGTGCCCCCTGGATGGTACAAATTATGTCTTTGGAAAACCCAAATTTTTCTAAGCGTTCTCATTTAGCGACCAGACCCAAAGGGGCTGACCTATTATAGGGGGGCTCCTGATTGCTCCTCCCACCTGCAGGAGCGCATCCTCTCTCCACTGCAACTTTCACGGTTGACCCGTCAGTTGTTACACAACCGGGAACCACGAAGCGTTCATGCGTTATGGGGCGATCAGAATCATTTTCAGATTCTCCTCTCTCACCCTCTCCAACAGTGCTGATATCAGGGGAACTGGAGGGAAGGCATAAATCGGTGTCTTTAGCCACGGTGTGTGTGCAAACGTGTTCACTCCCAGTGGCGGAGCATCCTGTGGATTTAGGAACAGGGCGCACTGAGAGTTCTCCCGGGTGGCCATCAGATCCACCTCCGCTCGCCCAAACCTGCTCCACATTTGCGAGATTAGATCTGGATGAAGAGACCAATCCCTGTCCAGAGGGCCTCCTCTCGACATAATATCTGCTCCTCTGTTTAGAACACCTGGGATGTAAACTGCTCTGATCGGACATAAATTTGTGCGCGCCCAGCAGAGCAGTTCCCGAGCTGTATTCAGCAGCTGACCTGAACGCACGCCCCCCTGGCGATTTATGTACGCCGTTATGGTTTTGTTGTCTGTGTGAATCATCATGTGATGATCCTGAACCAGTGTAGCAAAATGTCTGAGTACTTTTTTTACTGTGAGAAGTTCTAAAACATTTATGTGACAAGATGTGCCGGCCGGCCACGCACCTCCTATCGTTTGTGACAGGCAGGTCCCTCCCCAGCCGGAGAGGGACGCATCTGTGAACACCGAAGTGAATGACGTCACTTTGCCCACGGGAACACCCTCTGACAGGTTCAGGGAATTCCCCCAGTGGTTCAGAGCTGCCCCCACAGATGGCGGAACGGTGATCAGGCACCGTTTGTGATGTCTTTAAAAACCCTGATCATCTGAGCAGACACACACCCCTCAAATCGTCGTTTTTTTGTATGGCCTCCTCTGCGTGTCCTGCATCTGATTCGGCCACGGGCCATTATGTTGCCGGCCTCTGCCTCAGAAAGTCCCGGATCCTTATTGCATCTGGGACGTTTGTCTTCTGGAGAAGGCTGGTGGGGGGGCCCCAGAAAAGTTGCAGCAGCCGTGGAGCATCTCTGCTGCTGACGCTGGAACCTGCTCTGTTCTCGCCAGCGGCCAGGTATCCGAGCAGGGCAGGGATCTGTTCGAGGTAGGGTCACGTGACTCCGCACCTGTTCCAGGGCATCGGATGAGGACTGCAGCTGGTTCAGGACCGACTGAAAATGAGGTCCGAAGAGGCCATCTGGGGGCACAGGACCTTCCAGTTTTTTTTAACATCATCTGGGATGGACAGAGACAGTTTCAACCACATCTGTCTCTGCAGCAACGTTGCCCATGACGAGATGCAGGCGTAGCATGCTGCAAGCACCGCACACAGGTTGGTGATCGTGTCTGCAGCCGCGCAGTTCTGGTCCAAATCTGTAGAGAACAGGTTCGGTTCCTTTGCCTCCTTAGCTATACTAAGGGTTAGCATAGCGATGTTGTTGGTTGTTGCTCCCACCTGCGATGAGCACTGATGAATTCTGTCCATCAGTTTCGCGATGAGCTGGTCACCGGAGGATGGCAGGGTGATACGTTGGCCAATGCATTTCGCTGCTCTTACCCTGAAAACAGCTGACAAACTGGGTTCTAGGGGAGGGACGATGGGAAAGCCCTAGTCCGTGAGCTCTTTGACTTTGGTGATGGCCGCGTAGGAGGCGACCGGAGCCCTCAACTTTAAGGGTTCATTGGCTGAACCCAGGAGGAGGGCGGACACAGCCGGGAAACAGGGTCAGACCGGGTCCCGGTGTTTAATGTACTGGATGGCAAACCTTCCAGCCAGAAGGGTCGACGTGGCTGGGGCCATGTTGTTTTCCACAGAGCAGGAACCATCCTCATGCACAGGCTCAGGTGAAAAATGTGCCAGAAAACATCACACAGCTGAGCCGCACATCCTTTCAGGAGTTTGGGGCTCAGTCCATCTGGACCTGCAAGCTTGCCAGGACGTAGACAGCTGAGCTCCATCCTCACAGTCTCCCTGCTAATGGTGATTGGAGGCACTAATGGTGGAGGAGTGTTAGGTGAAGGAGGTTGCAGCTGGGGTCCATTATGTTGCTGATGAGGAGGGGAGGAGTTGCTTAAGGGGTGTGGTGACCCCCTGAAAGGTGTTGGAGGAGGTGTGGGTGGGGCAGAGCAGTGGGTGCAGAATGAACAGTTGTGGGTGAGGGGTGAGCAGTGTTCACAACGTCAAACCTGTTGAAGAACTATCCTGATGCATGCTCAATGCTGTTGAAGAACTGGTTTAACTTGTTGGCCTCCTGTTGGTTTCCTCCCATCACTGCTGCAGTCTTTTTCTGACCAGTGATGCTTCTCATCCCGTTCCAGACCTCCTTGGTATTGCTTAGAGCAAGTTTGCCCTCCAGTTTCCTTTTGTACTGCTGCTTACTCTCCCTGATCTTGTGTCTCACCTCAATCTGTGCTTTCCTCATCTCCTCCCTGTACCCCACCCTGAAGGCAGCCTTTTTCCTGTTCAGGGCTGCCTTGATGTCTTTGGACACCCATGGTTTATTGTTGGGAAAGCAGCACACTGTTTTTGTGGGGATTATAGTATCCGTGCAGAAATTAATATAATCTGTAACACAGACAGTGAGTGTATTAATGCCTTGCTCATGTGCATCACAGAAAACAAACGTCCCTGTCAGTTGCCTCCAAGTTGCCCTGCAGGGTCTCCATTGCCTCCTGTGGCCACCTCCGTAAAGTTCTCACAGTCACTGTCTGCCGCTATACTGCAGGGAGGTACCAGATGTGTGTGTGTATGTGTGAATGTGTGAATGTACTGTAAGTCAATGCAAAGTCCCTGTAAAGCTAGATATACAAACTTGATTGTGTGAGTGTGTGTGTGTGTGTGTGTGTGTGTGTGTGTGGGGGGGAGGGGGGGGTAATGGTGAGAGGAAAAACATGTTCCTTATTAAATTACCTTTTGGCTAGGCATACCTGGTAAAACAAGGATCAAGGAGAGGGAGGTGTAGGACCTGACAAATTTGACAAAAAGTGGTTTGACATAAGTTTTAAAAATTAAGAACAACCTAGGGTCAGGGGAAGGGGGGGCAAGGGACCTGTTAAATTTGATGAAAAGGGAGGTATACAATCTCTTGTGCTTCTCCCGAGTATTCTAGAAAATCACAGTTGATTTTCTTCTGTTAATTTGCAATGGTTTTAAAAGACTATACTTCTTTTTGCAGACTCTTCAATGGACTTAATCGTGTTAAGATAGAGAGTCAAGGAAAACAGTCCCTGCTTGTTTTCTTCAACGTGTCAGAAGAAGACTATGGAAATTATACCTGTGTTGCAATAAATACAATGGGAATGACTAATGCCAGCATAATCTTTTACGGTAAGTCAATAAATACTATAGAATTTTTAAATGCCCAGCTATTCTTACTCCTGATTTAAAAGGGGGAAAAGTGTTGGTACTCCACTACATGTTTTCTTTGTTTGTTTTGATTTTGTTTTTTTTTACTAACGTTAAAGATGGATGGAAGGATGATGTTAAAGATTTATTCACAACTACTGGTTAACTCTATTTACAGACTGTATATTGTACAGTCCTCTGTACTGTGGATCAGATTACCAGCGCCCACCCCCATGTGTGCTTCTGGCTGGATCCTGGTGCTTTAATTTTACCGCCATTGCTCCTCATGAGTCATGCGTCACTTGAGTCCTTATAGGTAACTCAATCAGAAGTCATGTCAAGAGAGTCCTGGCTTTCAGTTTTGACCATATCTTGTAAGTAATGTAGTTTATACGAATTATAATTCATACAAACTACAAATAAATAATGAGTCTTATGTATGTCGTATGTAGTTTACTTAGAGTTGGTGACACTGACACCGATATTGGCAGGTTTATTAGAAGTGACAATATGTTGTAAAAAACGACTGCATGAAAAGAACAAACATTTACAGGTGCTGCTACTGAGTACAAAACTTAAAAAGTGCTGGTACTGAGTACTGGAGAGTCCTGGCCCACTTTGAGCACTATTCATACCTGATGCTAAATTAATAGTGTTTGCATTGTAGAAAAATACTCTTTCTTACCGGTAAATTGTTGACCAAAAACCAACAGTAAATGGTAAAATGGTAAATGGAGCTTACTTCTATAGCGCCTTCCAGCCCCCTATGAGGGGCCCCAAGGCGCTTTACAGTACCAGCCATCCACCCATTCACACGCACATTCATACACCGGTGGCGGTAGGCTGCCATGCAAGGCGCCATCCAGTCCCACCGGGAGCAACTCGGGGTTAAGTGTCTTGCCCAGGGACACAACGGCACATGGTGTGGGAAGTCGGGATTCGAACCTCCAACCTTCCGATCAGAGGTCGGCTGCCACTACCACTGCACCACGGCCGCCCACAGTAGTCCCTCACTACTTTGCGGTTCGTTTATCGCGGACTCACTCTGTCGTGGTTTTTCTAAATAAGATTGGACATGACACAATTGGCTGATTGATGGACGAGCTGCATGATCAGCATGTAATTTTTATTTAAAATAAATTATTTTAAATTATTTAGCACCTGCTGCACCTTTGTTCAGCACGTACTGCAGGATAAACTTCCTGGTGCAGGCGATCAGCTGTTCACTGTGCAGAGCTGAGAAGTGGGCGTGGCCAAAAGCACTTGCAGGTGGCAGAGCAGCCAGAGGCTGAAAGCTGAAATCATGACATTCTGTGCTCTTTTAGAATGTTTATAGTTCATAAACATTGTTTGGAATATTGAAAGAGTGTGGGAAGGGTTTAAAACACACACACACACACACACACACACACACACACACACACACACA